TTCCATATAATCAAGAAGGAAGAAGTCAAATATGCACTGAAGAAATTGGTGAAGAACAAGGCTCCAGGAATTAACAGAATAACCACTGAGATGTTTCAACAAACAGATGCCTCACTCAAGGCACTTACTCATCTATGCCAGGTCAGTGGCCAACTGACTGGAAGAGATCCATACTTGTACACATTCCAAAGAAAGGTGATCCCACAGAATGTGGAGATGATTGGGTAGTATTATTAATATCACATGCAAGTAATGTATTGCTGAAGATAATTTAAAAATGTTTGCAAGCAGTATATTGACAAAGAACTTCCAAAAATGCAAGCTGGATTCAGAAGAGGAAATAGATCGAGGGATAATCATTGCTGATGTCAGATGGATCTTATCTAAAAGCAAAGAATACCAAAAAGACGTTTACTTGTGTTTTATTGACTGTGCAAAAGCACTCGATTGTGGGATCATAACAAAATATGGATAACATTGTGAAGAATGGGCATTCTAGAACACTTAATTGTGCCCATGAGGAACCTTTATGTAGACCAGGAGACTGTTGTTCAAACAGAACAAGGGGACACTGCATGGTTTAAAATAAGGATGTATTGTCAGGGTCGTATCCTTTCACCATATTTATTCAGTCTGTTTGCTAAGCAAAGAATTCAAGAAGCTGGACTATATGAAGAATGTGGCATCAGGATGGGAGGAAGACTCATTAACAACCTGTAGTATGCAGACGACACAACCTTGCTTGCTGAAAGTGAGGATGACTTGAAGCACTTATTGATGAAGGTTGAAGACTGCAGTCTGCAGTATGGATTGCACCTTGACGTAAAGAAAACAAAAATCCCCACGACTGGACCAATAAGCAGTATCACAATAAATGGAGAAAAAATTAAACTTTAATTTCATATTTCATATTACCTGAATTCATATTACTTGGTTCCACAATCAACACCAAATGGAAGCAGCAGTCAAGAAATCAGGTGATGCCTCCTACTTTGGCAAGTAGAGACTGGGATCTTAAAAGCTTGCAAGCAGCCATCTAGATGCAATGATGGGTTTCTCCTCATCCAGAGCAAAGAAGAATGAAGAAAACCAAAGATTCTTGGAAACGATTAGTCCTAGCGACTGGTAGACCATGAGATCTGCAGCCTATATAACTATGAGACCAGAAGAACTAGATGGTCCCAGTTACCACTGTCAACCACTCGTAGGGGGATCTATGTAGGAGATCCTGGATAGAGAGGGAGAACAATGTGGAACAAAACAAAATCATTGGGTGGGGGGAGGGGAAGGACCAGCTTTGCTGGTCTTATGAAGCCTGGTGGAACCCCTGAGACTATGGCCCTTAGTTGCCTTTCAGGTCTGGAATTGAACACACCCCTGTGGCTTCCAGCCAAACAAAAGACAGTCATAGGAGTTGAACATTTACCTGAGGTAGATAAACTTCTTGGAGAGATCAATCATGGCAGAAAGAAGGGCTGCTTATGCACAGGGAGACAGCTCAAGGGGCAGGAGTACATGGAGGGATGGACACAGGGAAGAGGTAACTATTGGGAGGAAGTGGGAGGGGAGCTGTTGCATTGGGGTAAATTGTAGTCAATGTCATGAGACAAAGTGTATGTGAACCATTGTATGGAAAGTGAATTAGCTCTGTAAATTTTCATCCAAATCACAATTGAAAAAAAAAGAAGAAGAAAAAAAGATTTGCTTCAACTGGTGGGAAAAAAAAAGAAAAAGAAATCAGGTGACGTATTGCACTGAGAAGATCTGCTGCAAAAGACCTCCTTAAAGTGCTGAAGAGCATATGTCTCTTTGAAGACTAAGGTGCACATCACCCAAGCCATGGTATTTCCAATCACCTTATATGCGTGTGAAAGCTAACAACAAAGAAGGAAGACCGAAGAAGAGTTGATGCTTTTGAGATGTGGTGCTGTCCAAGAATGCTGAAAGTACCGTGGACTGCTAAAAGAACTAACAAATCGGTGCTGGAAGAAGTGCAGCCAGAATGCTCCTTGGAAGCAAGAATGGCCAGACCTCGTCTCACCTACTTTGGTCATGTTGTCAGAAGGGACCATTCCTCAGAGAAGGATGTCACGCTTGGTAAAGTGGAGGGTCAACGAAATAGGGAAGGCCCTCAACAAGATGGATCAACACAGTGGCTTAAATGATGGGCTCAGATGTAACAAGGATCGTGAGGCTGGCACAGGACCGGACGGTGTTTAGTTCTGCGGTGCGTAGGGTCCCTGTGAGTCGGAGCTGACTCAACGGTACCTAACACCAACAACTGCTTTGTGATTCTAAGTGTTTCTTAAGATTTAAAAAAAAAAAAAAAAAA